TACCTTAATGAATCAGTGAACACATGCAGGTTTTGATCAATACTGATACAAGAAAAAAAAATTCTAGACATCGACTGGTTGACGTATTGGTCTACGTCTACTTTAGAGTTGTGTAAGTTGCAGAGGTTAATAACTAGAAGGTTGCTGTTCCAAGTCCATCCTACAGTAGTTGTCGCATCCTTAGGTAAGACTCTTTACCAGCATTTGCTGATGGTTTTCACAGCCATGTACGGCAGCCTTGCCTCTGTCCATATGCCACTGGGCAGCTGTGGTTATAATCTACCACACCAGCATGAATGTTTAACTCTAGTATGTAGTGTTAACTTTTGTCACATACTAGTGTTAGATGTTTAACTCTGATGAATCCAGAATTAAACATTCTAAATGTGCTGTTCCAACTCTGTCACAGTATTAACTGTTTAACATTTAGTTTTTAGAGTATTATTTTAACTAGAACTTGTTTGGACCAATATACAGTAAACTCTTTAAAGTGGTTGAATTGAATTTCCAGTCCCTGTCAATTCAAAAATTGCTGTGTGACCTGAAACGACCAAAGAGGGAAAAAAAAAAAAAACTCAGTTGATATTAGGCAAGGCAAGTATAGTTATTTATCACATTTCAGCAGTAAAGCATTTCAAAGTTAGGTTAATTAAAAATCTGAGAAAAGGGCATTGCAGTGACATAAAGGTAATTAAGTAACTAATATGAATAATTTTAAATAATAAAAATAGATACATAAAAGATAATTTGAAAAAAAATTATCAAAAGACTGAAAATAAAATGGTTCATAGTCACCTGGTGACATAATCTACAGCTGTGTGTCACCTGAACAAGCAGGGTAATTTATGTTGTTGTCTATTAAGATCTGAGTTAGGGGAATCATGCAGATATTGAATAGGAAGGGGGCTAAAAAGACCATTATAAAACTCCATATGTGATCTATGTGGTCTCTGGTGTAAAGTTACTTACTGACACAAAAAGGTCCTGTCCTTCAGATAAGACTTAAACCGGTCTAGTGCTGTACCAGAAAAGCAGACCCAGTTTTCAAGGTGCTCTAATAAAATGGAGTGATCAACAATGTGGAATGCTGCACCGTGGAAAGGTGAGTTCTGTGGTGAGCATGGAAGCCTGGTTGGTCATTGATAGGAAGTGGGTTTAACTGCTGAAACACAGCCTTTTCAGTAATCTTAAAGATAAAGAGGGGGGTTTGACATGGGCATATAATCCTGTAGTAGCAACTTGTCCACGTTAATCTTTTTCAATAGTAGTAGGATAATTGTTGCCCTTAGGGCCTTAGAGGGACATATTTATTATTTGAGTTAAATCAGATGTTATGAAAAGCAAAGCTTTCAGTAAAACACCAAGATGGCTAGAAGGACTTAGTTGGTGTACGATTTCTTATAAGTTTTAAGGCAAACATAATTTCAATACATTACTGACCTTACTGTGTAAGATGCATAGAAAAGACTATTGCTGAGATAACCCCTGTGAAGGTTGAGGCTAAAAGGTTATTAGAGTAGTTTGATTGGCAAAGTTGTGGTCTACATCTGCGGAAAGATTGGTAAAATTCTAAGACGACAAAATACAGACAGCAACACTGAAAGATGTGAAGGTCAGGGGTACATAAATCCTGTGGGAGCAGATGGACAATATCTGAGTAAATTGCTTAGAACTGTAAATCTTACAGTTTGGAATGAGTGGGAGGGGGTGAATGGATTGGGGGAATAAACAACAGGAAATGTCCAATGGTCAATGAGACCCAAGGGGACCTACCTTTCACTGTGCTTAACCTTTAACAATCTGTGGCATAATGGCTTTCTGGCATTAGTGCTGCTAGAACCACCCCAGCCCCCACCCAGACCCACACACACAAGTGATGAGGCATTAATTACTTACTTTACCTCATAGACCTGTGACCTTCAGCCGGTCATCCAGTGATGGTGGAAGCAACAGGCAGACAGGTTGCCTAGAAACTACTTTCATTGTGTTATCATGTTCTTACATTAAAAGCTGAAAGAGCAAAATGAAGAAGGTGGGAAGGAAGAGAAGGAAAAACTGGTGAAAAGTGTAGAATAGTTTACTGAGATCCCTTTTCTGAGAATGAAATATTTGGCTACCTTTGGACTACATATTCATTTATATTTGTTGAAATAACCATGTTAAATATTAAGGGTTTATACATTTTTACATTATTTGGTGTAGGATATCTAATTTCAAAATACAAAGGAGAACACAGAAACATGGGGGTGGTGTCAAAAATAAGTAAGAAATTTGCAATATTGCAAGAATAAATGGTAAGTCTATGAAAACCATTTTTTTTTATTTTGAGCTTTTGCTGCAGATCCTCATTTTGATTGAAGTCCAAATTTTTATTATTATACCATTTAAAAACATAATTTAGCCTTGATCTCAAATGTTTCATTGAAGTTCTTTGTGCATGTTTAAAGCCAGATGAGAGGTGGAGCTCTGCCATCCAAAACAGCCTCCATTCAGTTATTTTTTTCCCTCCAGAATTGCCTTTTGTTGTGTTCTATCCATCTTTCAATCAGCTCTGACCAGCCTTTATTTTGCTGCCGAAAAAAAAAGAAAAACCCTACAACATGGTGCTGCCACAGTGTGTTTCAGTGAAGGATTGGTGCGGATGTGGAGTTTTAGTTCGCTGTCATACATAGTATTTTTTATGGCCACTCAGTGGCTTAGAAAAACTACAAAAGGGACTTCTTGTAACTTAACTTTTAGCATGGGCTATACTCTTTCCATTTCTTCAACAATGGATTGATCTGTACCCTTTGATATATTTAAGTCTTTTATAACCTGATGTTCTCTTTAGGGTGCTATTTGTTTATTTTTCTTCTTTGAAAATAATGTGAAACCGTCACAGAGCCAGACTATTAATAATGTTCTATTGCCTTTTTCTATTAAATAAATCCTAATGAAATAAAATGAAATATTCCTTTGTAACAAAATGGAATTTGAAGAGGTTCAAATAGTATATACATTTTGCACAACTTTCTTTTTTTTTTTTTTTTTTTTGCTCAAAACAAAGTATTACCTGGCTTCTTTCTTGCTCTTTGCCTCATCTCCAGTGTTGTAGTTATGTGGAAAAAAAATTCCTAGCAGCAGCTCTACTGCTTGAGATATTGATATTTTTATCAAAGATTTGTTCTGTTCAAATGAGCACAAAGTATGGCCAACTATTGGTTGAAAAAGGTATAGTTCAAGTAACCTATGTAGATAACTGCTATGAGAATTTTTCTTTTTTCACACTTTTTTCTTCTGCGTTGTCCTACTGTATACCCTATGTGGGTCAAAGCCGGTCTAAAAAAAATTCAATTATTTGAAAGTTCAGCTAATGCTTGTTTTGCCCCTGGAGGACCTCTAGGAACCCTGTGGCTCATTCTTTGGGCTCGTTTGTGAGTTGCATCTGTCATCGGCACACTACATATATCACTTTGCAGAATACATTTATCATTCAATATTCAGTGACCGTGTTCTCTTGAGTGGCCTGACAGTGTGTCAGTATGCAATCGCACAGTGGTCCAGAGTACCACCAGGAGGTTACACTGTATTTAATGAGATTTGTTGGGGGGCGAGGGAGAACCAGAATGTGAAATGAGTTGATTCAGAAGACAGGGGGAGTGCTGAATGAATAAAAGAGGTAAAAAAAAAAAAAGTGAAGAATGGTAGAAACTATCTTTGTTGTCAGAGCTCTGTCAGAAAATAGGACTGTGTGAACTTCAGCCCGCTTTTCACTCTGAGGTTATGTTCATTCCCTCTAGTGCATACTTTTACACTTTCTCTCAACACCTCTCTCCTTCTCTTCATGTCTTTCATGTGCTGCCATTACTTCCACCTAACCCCCAAACCCCCACATCTTTCTTTATATTGTGTCATCTTTTGTGTCTTCCTCGGTTGCTGCCCTGCCTGTCCTGCATTTTGCCCCACTTGCTTCATCTCCTCCACCCCTAAGTCGTCTCATTCTACTCCCATCCCCATCCTTCTATAAAGCCACATTGTGCCGATGTGATTCATTCACCTCCTCTATGTTCTTACAGCCACCCCTTTCCCAATGCTCATCCAAGAGCTGTAGATAGTAAAGCTTTGAAAGGACATGTCCTTATTATCTCCTATCATCTGCTTGTGCTTTAGTTTGTTTTTTTTGTTTTTTAGGTAGCCAATTATAATAATGCTAAATTAAATTTGGTTCCAACTCTGTGATTGTTGTTGACTCTTATAATCCATTTTTGTGAAAGCAGTGCAGCTCCAATCACTGCTAAACTAATACAAAGTCACTGGCTTAGCTGTAATAATGCCTGGGTAGTTTTTATTTGTTTTATTTCGCCCCCCCCTAAGGCATTTTGATGCATTCTGACCTCAGAGTGGATACAGGTGTTAGGAATGTAATCATTCAGAGTGTGGGCGCTCTGCATATATTTTTCAGTGTCTTATCAGTGGTTAGTTTAATTCAAAATCAATATTTGAGTGCAATACAACTTCTAAAGTCTTAAAGACTTTTCTAAAAGATTTAATTTTTGTTCTTAAAAACGCATCAGCTGGTTTAATAGTCTATTGGAGCAAGGTCAAGTAATTCCCAACATATTTTTTGCATATTTACTATTTCTTTGTTTCTACAAATTATAAGTCAGCCAGCAGTCATCCATAAATAAGTTGTTGTTTTAATGATGCATTGCAAATGTTCATGTAGGGCTTGAATTGCAAACTGCAGTGTTATAAATAGTCCTGTGATTCATCCATTCTGAATCAGAGTTGAAGTCATTGTGGAAGTGCCACCTCCTACAGCAGGTTAATCAAATGTACTGTTAGAAATAGTTTGAACTCTTTCATCCACAAAACATTGAAAATCTGCATAATTTTTAAAGCCTTATTAAAAGAAATGTTTGTTATATAAAATATTGCACCTTAAAAAGAACTTTTAATATGCTCAAATATGTTAATCACCTCTAACCAGTTTGTTTTTTGTTTTGTGGTTATTTTTATAGGATGGTTACTCTCAGCATCATTTTGTGGGTTCGGCTTCAACAATAGAGAGAGACAGACAGAGGCCCTATTCCTCTTCGAGAACTCCCTCTGTTTCTCCTGTCAGGACATCACCCAATAACCGATCTGGTACGGAAAATCTTTTACAGCTTTACATTTATACAATAATGCATTCTGGTTTGTTAAGATTTGTAATTATTTTTTTTAAATATGCTGATTTTCACAGTTTTTTGTCTTGAAAATACACATACTGGTTTTAACACTTAATACCCAAGCTTTTTTTAAACAATTTAATTGGTATATTTATCAAGAGAGTGTTTAATTTAAGAGAAAAAAGGGGTTATTTATCAGGGTTAGCAAAACTGTAACTGTTTTAATAGCCTGAAATCTGACTTTACATGCCCTGCATACATAAAGCCTTTACCCTCACTTTCTGCTTTTTTAAGCTTTATGACTTAGGTCAAAGATATCAGGTATAATTCCAGGATTTGAGTATAAAATCATGACAGACTCTATGGCACTGGTAATTTGAATCCTCTTGGCTATGATGGAACAAGAAACTAAACAATCACTAAAGCCTCTCAACCAGAGGTGTCACGTAAAAAGTACAACTATTTTGTTACCTTCCTTAAGTAGAAAAATCTTTACTTTACTGGAGTAATTATTTTTTTAGACATCTTTTTACTTCTACTCCTTAAATTTTTTTTGCAGTTATCTCTGCTTTCTACTCCTTACATTTAAAAAATAGACTCATAAGTTTTGTTTCATTAAACTCATGTTCGTTATGGTCTGTTGGTTTATACAATAAATAAAAACCATTAAAATAACTTTTTTCATCCAGACCATTAGTTTATTTGGTGGTTGGACTCAATGCTGCACCAACTTGTTGTTCGCTCAATACCAAAATAAATAGTCTTTCAAGATGATGCAAGGTTAAATTTAAAACTCTTAAAAACTAAGAAAATTTAGTAAAGAAAGTTATCATCCAGAATTTTAGAAACATTTTCCTTTAATAGTGTAGTGCAGTCCTTAACATTTTTTGTTGCATTACTTTTACTTTTATACTTTTAAGTAGTAAAAATTTTACTTTTACACTTTATACTTGAGTAAAAAGCTTAAATCGATACTCTAACTTCTACAAACGTGTTTTTAAAAAGTAGGATTTATACTTCTACATGAGTAAGAAACTTTTGACACCTCTGCTCTGAACTAGAATGCACATTAACGTCCTACTCATACTTGATCACAATACAATTCAATGCATTACAGTATGTTTACGGTTTGCCATGTGCTTAACTGAAACTACATTTGAGAGCAGTCATATGTTTTACGGTACAACTTTACAATATGGCCCCCCTAACAGATATCTAAGAAATAATTAATAGATATGTTATTAATCAATCCGTAAACAATTTATCAATCATCCAGTTCTTTATTTTACATTTAACATATTTTGCAGGATAACAAAATTTGTTTACAGATGCTTAATGTACTGTCAAGGTTAGTAATTTAGTCTAAAATGTTAAATATAAGCAACACTAGATGAACTATGTAGTTCAACGGATTTGTCTCCCTATTTGGCAAGAAACTGGTCAGTTTAGTCTCTTTGTAAATTATTCATAAACATGTATGATGAATCATTAAGTATAAACAGATAAATAGCATATCTATTACTATTTATACTATTTATTATCCAGCTATAAAGGGAATCTTATTGTAAAGTGGATTCACTGCTTTCTCTGTATCTATTATGGTGCAAGTCAGGTTTCCTATCATTAAAATGCAATAGAAATTTTATTTGAAATCCATGTAAATTGTACCTAAGGATAAATAAGACTTTTAAAGGTTCATAAATGTCTTCCTGATATCTTTCCTCGCTTTTTTTGGGCAGTTTTATGTAACTAAAATGTTCTTCCAAATCAAATTTTTGTGAATTCTAATCTTAGAAAAAGATTGTATTAATGCAAAGCATATTCAATATATATAAACCTCTAAATGAAGTAATGAAAAAAGTATTTAGCATTAAGAAAATATTTTGTTTGTTATAAATAAAAGTTAGTTTGCCACAGAGGAAAAGGAGATTATCTGTCGTTATGTACAGTACAGTCTAAGATACACGCTTAAACTATATTTGATTAAATCTAAATTGTTTTTCTCATTTAACGTAATGCACATCTCTCTATGTTTTGGAATAAAGTATTGCAACTTAACTTAAAGCAATTGCTGGCATGTAAAATCTGACAAACATGTGCACACATCAATTAGCCAGAAGCATCAACATTCTACAGTCCATCAGTTTTATACTAAGACTAAATAGCTCCTTGTATCAGTACTTGCCACCTATAGGCTGCCATGCTACAAAGTATGATTATCATTAGCCTTTAGCCTGAGCCCAGTGGCCTTCATGCTTTGCAAGAGTGCATTAGCATTAGCTGTTAGCATTGGTAGTGGAAGAGCCTTTAGGTATTCTTTCTCCACAGTGGGCTTAGCAAGCTGATGAGGCAGAAAAGTACTTTTCCTTCCTTGCGGCTTAGAGAGGTCTTCAAGGACCCTGCTGAGAGAGAGAGAGAAACCGAAGGAGTGAGGGACAGAATAAGTGTGTGTTTATGTGCAAGCATTACAAAATACAGACAGAGGCAGGGATGTGATAAACAGGGAGGGAGATAAAGGGAAAAAAAATACAAGGAGACAAGAAGAATTGAGGATTGAGGGATGACTGATTCAGGGAGGAGGCTGAGAAAGCTGGGGATTTGACTTTGGCAAGCGACATTGAGAGTAGTTCTGTGTTTGTGATACTATGAAGTTGAGGGGGTAAAATAGAGAAATCACTGGATGTGATTCTTTAACCCTTTATAGGGCACTCAGTGAAATACTTTGAAAATCTAAATTTCAAGCCAATAGTGTTGTTATAATCCATGACAAGACTTATTACCTTTGTAACATTAAAAAATATGGATATTTTGATGGCAGGAATCAATGTCAATGTAGTAACAAGAAACACACACTTGCCCAAATATATTAAGAAAAATAACAAAAGTGCTTCAAGAAGAAATTCATGAAAAACACTCTGAAAGAAAGAAACACATTTTTTGGTACAACATAACCGTAGAGGCATTAATGCTGATACTGGCACATTTCTTTTTTTTTTTTATAAACCTAAATATAATTGTTAACTAGGCTTATTACCTTTTTTACTTTACTTTTTAACTAATTTACAGTAGATAATATATCATCCAAGGGCTCATCTAATTGGTCAAATGCCAAAATAAGATCTACAGCCATGTAGCAGCATCTTTGCTGAATGGCTGGAGATAGATCTTATGCTTCTGGAGGGACGGGGGGATTTTTAAGGGGTATGCAAGTGATCAAAAACGGTAACTTGCCCTTTTAAGGGTTATCCTGCTTCTTCTGCTTTGTACACACTTTTACTCCTATTTTGATTATATGCTTTCTCCTCTTCATTTCAAGTTCTCCTCATGTGCATCTCCAGCTGCACCTTTTTGCAGCATTCCCCCATTCTGCTTCTAATCTCTCACTCCTCGACCACCCTGGTTCACACACTGACTAATACATCCAAACATCCACATACATCCGTATCTCCTCACTGCATATGTATGCTCCAGACTGCAATCCCAGTCCTTAGAGATGGATCAAAGCAAAAGGGTGTAATAAAGGCGTGCAAGCTCATCGGGAAAGGAGGAGTCAAAGAGTTGATGTGAGAAGAGAATTGATAAAACCGTGAAAGAGGAGCTGAGTTTAGAGGGTAAAAGACAGAGGGTATCCAGAACTACAGAGTTAGAGAGACCTATGCCTCCATCATGGCCTCTACAGGCTACAGGAGTGTTTTGCTTTGATATAGTGAGACTCCCTGGCTATCACAAGCAGCCACTACAAACCATGTCCACCTGCTAACTGTAACCAGTGATAAACTTTGCCTTGTAGGTAACTTGCAGGTTTAAAAACTAAATAATCCAAAATATGCCACACATATTCATATGTATAAATGTATACATGTATGTTTTCAATGAAAAAAAAACAACATGAAATAATCTGTAATATTTACTACCTCTTAATGTTTAACTAAAAGAATAAATCAGGGATGCAGCTCATATTCTATAATGACAGTATAATCAATAATATCCATATGCATTCCAATAAGGCTTGCTTGCCATATTAAAAATACCACATTAAAATAATAATAAATAATAATAAAGGCTTGAGAGCATTAATTTCTATACTGTAATGTTGTGCTCTGTAAATTAAGTTACTAAAACAAATTAACTCTTGAATGATATGCTCATAGAGTAAATATGACTGAAATATGTATTATATAATATATTATTTTTGTACCGCTGACATAAAGGAGATTGTAAATGAAGGAGAAAGTTTATTTTTGTCGTCATAGTTCTTTTTGAGAGCATGAGTTAAATCAATTCTATTCCAAAATACTTTATTAATACAAAATTAGATTAAATATTGTAGTAACTTATTGTTTTTTTTTTGTTTGTTTTTTTTACCAGTTTTCATAGGTGTAACACCAAGATTCTAAAAAGTTGCTCAATATACTTAGCTGAAAATAACCACAAGAATTTTTATCTAAGATTTTATCCTTTTTATAATGGAAAATGGGAAGATGCTATACCACATGAACTGGTTTTCATTTTGATAATACATTAAATTCCTGTTTTTAAGTTTTAACATTATTACTGGAACTTTGTTACTCTATTTCTTTACTTTTTTTGTGCGTCCCAAATAATATTTATATTCAGTTGAATTTATGCCTTTTGGGGAAGCTGTGAAAATCTAAATGATCTTACTTGCTTGCTTCCTGGTGTGTTTTTATTGTCTTCAGTCTGTTTTATCTTTGGCAGGGTTTGGGCCCTGTTTGTGGCCTGTCAAGATAGTGTCCAAGCCCTCTTTGTGTGATAGTTGCTATTGCATAATGCAAGACTTGACCTGACTGTTGCCAAGAATGTTTTCTTGATCAATATCTCGCCACCTTCAGATTCAAATAATATACAACAGCTTTACACACATAAAGAACACAAGGAAATTGAATATTATGTGTGGACTGAAATATTGCACACCAGATGTGAAATTTGATATTCCAATCATATGCCCATAAGCGTGTTCTTGAATTCCCAGACGTTCCTTATCACGCTGGAGGTGACCCTTTCTGCTGACAAGCTAAATGATGAATAATGACTGTGCACCTTGAAAGACCGGGAATAGACGCAAACACGCAAACATGAGCGGGCGGAACGAGAATACTCCTGCTGTTCTGGGTTTATTGCTCTCATTAATGCCTGCATATTTGCATGTGTGTGTGTATGTGCACGTGTAGCAAGCGCGCCTGCCTCCCCCAGAGAGATGACGAGTCTGAAGGAACGCAAGATGGACTATGATTCCACGGCAACCAACGCTGGTTTCCATAGCAACAAAGGAGAGCATACATCCCGGAAAGACGGCATGGCAGGTGTGTGTAGAGAAAAGAGAGAGGGACAAAGTAGATGTAGATTATTTTTATTTCCTTCATTATCTGTCATCTTTTTATTCCATACTTTATGTTTCTTTTTATGTATTTATTCTCTGCTTTAACCCTAAAAATTTTCCTCTATCCCTGCACTGATTGATTAGCCTTCCTCTTCCAACCAGCTACTATTAGCACTAATAACCTCACTTTTCTTTATTCATTGTTTCTTCCTTGTGTTTTCCATTCTCTCTAAGCCTCTTATAGTTTAGCTCCAATTGTTCTTCCAATTTCTCTGCTGTTGTTTTTGTTTTTTTTTACTACAATGACATACTTTTGAATAAGCTGCCTAAAGTACTTTGCCTTAATGGTTTATAATTAGTTTTTGCAGCTAAAGTGTTTTGAAAGGTTGGCTGCTGTGACGGTAGCTTTCATTGAACAAAAGGGTGGCTTCCCCTTTCTTTTTTTTTCATCTCATCCACGTAGTTCAAGTGTCCTGTGGGTCATCTACGTTGTTCCGAAACTCTTACCTGACAGCCAGTGATGAAATCAAGCAAAACCAGGTGAGTTTTTTTTTTCTTTTTTCTTTTTAGAAATGCACCTGTACAGTTTTATTTGCTTTCACCGTCTCTCTGTTTTTTTAAGCATTGCATGTGTTTCACCTCAGCTTTCCTACGTTGGAAAATGCTGTCATAATAAGGTGGTTATTATGAAAGATTACAGCAGAATGGAGGAGGCACAGCAGATCAAAACAAAAAGGTGTCTTGCTGTGATAAGAGATGCCCTGGCAGAATGTGCAAAGGATGTTCGCCCTCAGCTAAGGCTTTCTTAAACTACCGCAACCAGGAACAATACCCGCCTGCCAATTAAAGCTGTTATCCCGTTTGATTGCTCTAATTATTTGCCTCTGTTTAATGTCTCTCCTGGTGAAGAGGGAGGGATAACAGAAAACATCACAGCCTTTGAATCGGTAGATTAAAAGTGGAAAAATTTGTGTGGATCTCTTAAAATTCTAATTAAAGTTAGAGTTTGTTCAACTTTCACAGCTGCTGGTTGAACTTAAGTGAATAAATGTAATAGGGTTTTTTGAGGCAATAGATACTGACACACAAACAGAGCTTGTCTATTCTAGAGTTGGTGTTTGATATAAATTGCTCTATTATTGGCTGTATGTAATAGAGATTTCACAGCATGAGTCCTTGTCTGAGTTCTTGTCCTTTTACTTTTAAACCCTTTGTTTTTTTGGCCCTTCTTGACCCTCTGCTTCTGATTTTTCTTTCTCTCCTCTCTTTCACTATCCCCCACTACCTAAACACCTGCAACTCTGCCCTCGCCTGCTGCACTTCACCCACTGCCCCATTTACCCCCCTATCTGCCTCCCCAGAGCCCAGTGCCGCCCTGCGTTGTTCCCCCTCAACCCCAGCAAGATAGCCCATCAGCAGCCATGCTAAAAGACTACGACCTTTACCCCCCTCCGCCTTCCTTTCCCCAGCCCCAGCCGCCACAGCCTCCACCTCACAGCCAGAGTCGCAGCTTTGACGAAGCCTACTACGACGACCCAGGACCCCCGCCTCCACCATCACAGCCACAGCTACAGGCGCAGGCCCAGCCTCAGGCCCAACCCCAGCCACCTCCAAATGCCACAGGACCACCTCGTGATCCCCGGGAGGACCTTCGAATGCATCTGGGTCTCAAGTCCACCGGCAACTACGTAGACTTCTACTCAGCCTCACGGCCATACAGCGAACTGAACTATGAGACCAGTCACTACCCGGCCTCACCTGATTCCTGGGTGTAGTTAGATCATAATGGGAGGGAGGGGGCAGGAGCAGTCTATGTGTGCTTGCGTGAAAGGGATCGTTTTTGCAGGAGATTAATACAAATTTGAAAAAAAGACCTCATGCCTATAAAAAAGGTAATTTGTGTTCTTAAAAAAAGCTGTGTGCGAGCTTAATGTGGTAGAAGGGAAAGTCAGGTAAAGTGATGATGAGAGACTGTGCATGTGCATGCAAACATATTTTAATTATTTTTTTCTCAACCACTTTATCTTTTTTTTTAAGTTAGCTCCATTTCATTTCCAAGTGGAGTCAGTAGGAGTTAATATGAGGATCTGAGTTTCACAGACTGTATAGGGAGTGGGAGATGAAACATTAAAAAAAAGAGAGTGTATATAGATGCCTTGAATGGAGAGATCAAGAAATAATGGTGTGCTGATGAGGAAAGGCTCTCACTCTGTAGGAGCAGGAAGTGGTCTGACCTTCTATTGCAGTCAGAGATAAAGAGAGATGAGAGACTGAGATGGACTGAGCATTTACAAGGTGAGGAAAAATAAAAGCACAGAGAAAGATGAAAGCACACCAGCCCGAAGGGACGAAGTGGATTTTTACCATTTCACCAAAGTGACAAACGTAGCACTGCTTTTCTTCTATATTTTTCGTTGCTGATACCTTGCTGCATGTAGAGTCTTTGGAATTTATTTTTTTTTCTAAATGAGACTTTAAGTCATTGTTATTTTGCCTAATTTTCCTTTTTTTTGTCTTTCTACTTTTTTATATTTACACTTTCTGGTGCATTTTTTTATTTCCTGTGTACACTTAATAAGGGGATTTAATGTGTATATTACACATTTTGGATGGGCTGCTCATATAAATCCAGATCTTTATTTTCCAACTAATTCAAAGAGTGACACGGGAATTCAGAAAAGGGAAACATGAACACAGTAATCATGAAAGACAGGCTGGCTGTGAGTGGACAGATAATTTTTTTTTCCTTCCCCTTTTTTCCCTGGCCAGAGAGGAGTCCCTGCGATGTTTGTGATTTTGCTCTCTCCATCAAGTGAAATTTCTCAAGTGGACATAATCAAACGTCAAGAGCATCAAAGTGGCACAGCAGCGGTGCTCGGAGTCACAATCAAGAAAAGTGCTTTTTTTTGTTCACTGCCAAAAGAGTATATAGATGTATGTTTAAAGCACACTCTGTCTTCGGAAATGGACAGCTGTTTGACTTTGGGGATGTGATATCTTTAACAGTGTTAACTATCAGTCATTACTTTTGCATCAAAACTAGTCTGTTTGGCTAAATTCACCATGATTCCAGTTCATGTCGATGTACAGTAGAGATGAAGAAAAAAAAAAGAGACATGACGTTGTGCCAAACTTTGACAGATCAATGACTGGTCCTAGAGGACAAGATGGGGAATATTGTCAAGGTTTACATTGACTTGATGGCTGTCTCCTCTGTTTGTAGCTTTGATTTTCTTGTGTTTTAATCAGGTGAAGCCGTAGTTATTGCCGGGGGAGATCGTGGATACCTTCTCCCTCCCATAGTTGTACAGACCTGCCTCTCCATTCTGGCCGAGCATGTGTGGGCGTGCGTTTGGGACACGTGCGTGTTTACGTATACGTGCATGTGTGTGACAGAACGGATGGCCTGTGAGTGTGCTCATGTAGGCACGAGCGAGTGTATCTATGCATGCATGTGTGTAATAGTGTGCGTGTGCCTTGTGTTGGGTTGTATGTGTGTGAGTGTTTCCTGTGAAAAAAAAAGATCAATGTCCTAACAAAGGCATTCCTACTGACAGTTTGTCCGGTTTTACAGCATAAATATAAAGTTAAAAAAAACACTAGAATGACTAAGACAGAAGACAAATCTATAAATACATGAACATAAATATAAATATATAATTATATAGATATATAATTTTTATGTGCTGATGTCAATGTCACTAATTGCAGCAAATGTCCGCCGAAAAAAATGATTATGTGGTGTAAAAAAGGATTCTTGTTCACTTGATCCAAACAGTAAAAGTGCTGATATGCCCTGTCCATCCCGCCCCTCCACAACACTCACACTTATTTCCATCTCTACAACACGCACACAATGCCCTACACACACAAATCCTAATCAAGACAAAACATAAGTTCCACCTGAAGATGCTCTGGCTGTGTGTTATAGTGTGTCTATGCTTATTAGATGATTCTGCTGAGAGAGGACCGTACTTGAAACAAAAGGGGAAAAAAATAAAAGACTCTTTTCAATCAAAAACGATGGTCTTTGTTTTTCTTGGTCCACAGATAATATATGTGTTGTTTTCACCTATTTTTCTAATTGTTTGCTACATTATTTATAACAAGAACTGTTTTGCGACACTTTACTCAGAGCTTTACTAGTGAGTGAATAATGTGTGTGTGTTGGCTGATGTGAAATGCTTGCTTGTGCTTTTTAACCCACACCTTGGCTCCTCTCTTCACATTCAAGTGTAGAAAAACAAAACTGTGGCTTTTTTCCCACATTAATCTAGCTTGTAAGATGAATGTGGCTGAAAATCTATTAAATAACTATTAATGAGGAGCTTTTTATATCCAATTAAAATTAAAAGCTTGTTTAAAAGGTTAGAGGGTTATAATTAAATTGTTGGGGTCTACTTGAAAAATATTACAACTTTATATGCTGGAAAAGAAACCAGATGAAATCCTAGTAGTTGTTTCAGCATAGTGTTCACAACTTCAGCAGGAAGGAGAATTGCAAACTAAATGTCTGATGTTTAAATACTAAAATATGGTGAAAAACACCAACTTTCATAGAATGTTTTTTTTTTTCTACATAACTGCTCTCAAAAGTTTTATTGGCCATTTTTAACTCGGAGAGGGACTCCAAATGGCCTTTTGTCAGTAGGATGTATTTTGCAATCATAAAGATCAGAAACCAATGCTTTTCTCACAAAAACATGGAGGCTTAACTGACAATGGTATTTACAGTAGGCCTAAGCATGTTTTATGATCTCATTTTGGAAAATGTGCTTGTTAACACTTGTAATGAGGCCTTTTGAGTACCATGTATTCAGTGTTGACATGATAGACATTCAGTTAGAGCAATCTTTATAATTGAGAAAGATAAAGATGAACAGGAAAATGTGTTTACATCACCAGTTTCTATTTTCCCGTAGATCCAGTAATGGAGGTTTCCATTTTTCCAACCACTATGTTCATCTTTGGCTTTTTTCATATAGATTAGGTTCAGTTATTCGCATATGTCCATTTGGATCGAGTTAGATTTTAAGCAAATAAAATGAATTCTTGAACTGAAGGTAGGCACATTTGTTGCAGTCCATTGGTATTCATGTCTGCCCCTCCTCCTCATTCTCTTTCTTTCTTTTCTTTGAAGCTGTCTAGCTCGGCCTGTGAAATGCAGTGTTTGGTAATAAGTCCATTGCGTTGATTATTAGCCTTTACAATAGAGCCACAGCTTCTTTCCCTGAATGTAGTCCCTCAGTGAAAGCCTGGCATAACTTAATGTGGCGTGAAAATAGCTCTTCAATTTTCCTGTGCACAGCCTTTCTAGAAACTGCCCTGTTCAACTCTACAGATGCCTCCGGCCTTCTCTGTTTCACTCTGTCTTTGCCAGTATTCCCTCTCTACTCTCATAGCACCCATGCCCATTAAGTCATGGCAAAACTCCAGCTCCGAGGTTTGATGGTGTGTGTGTATGTGTACCCACGCACATTTATGCAGCTGCATGTCAGCAAACAGCCAGAGAGGACTTGATTGAGGGGGAGAACAGATAAAGTGAGATGTGAGGGGAAAAACAGAGGAGGGGGGGACCAGCTGGTTTTGGCTGTCATTTACAACATGTTCACTGCATTGCACTTTTTTAGCTTTCTTACAGTGTTGTTTCAACAGTCGTTGAATTGATCTATTTCCTTTAGATTCTTGCCTGTTTGCTACGGGTCGTTCTGTTCATCTTTGCCACTTTACTCACTACTCTTTATTTCCTGCTGTGTAAAAGTGTTCCCATAGCATAATACTAACACCACCATGCTTCAATGTAGGAATGGTATTGCCCTAGTAATGCCTGGTTTACTCCAAACATGATGCCTGGCATTAACACCAAAGAGATCAACCTTTCTCTCATCAGACCAGATGAGTTTTTCTTTAATCTTTTGACAAACTCTAGCTGAAATTATCCGACCACATTGCTGCAGTGATGAATGCACATCTGGAAGGTTACCATCTTTCTACAGAAGAATGCTGGAGCTCCGACAGAGTGGCCATGGGGTTGTTGGTTCCTTCCTTGACTAAGGCTTCTCCACACATCTATATGTAACAAGGCCGAACAGCTCCAGAAGGAGTCGTGGTGCTTCGAAAAGTCTTTCATCTACCGATAATGGATGCCACTTGGACCTTCAAAGCAGCTGAAATCTTCCAGCACGTTTCCAGTCTACAGACAATTTATCTGACTTCCTGCAAAAAACATGCAGTGGTAAGTGTGGGATCTTACATGAACAGGTGCGTGCATTTCCTAAACACGTCAAATTACTGAATGGATCAAAGGTGGATTCCATTTAACCTATAAAACATCGCAAGGATGATCAGTGGAAACAGAACGTACTACGGCTCAATTTTGTACCCCATGGTAAAGGTTGTGATTGCATAGTTTCCTTTTTGTAATGAAATTGCAAGAATAAACAGCTTGTTCCAGTGTTGTTATAATGGGGTGCTGTTTACAACATTTCAAGGAAAGAGATAATTTTAAACCCCTTTAGAATAAGGCTGTGACCTAACTATATGTGAAAAAAAATCCTGCACTTTGAATACTTTCCTATGACCTGCATACTGGGAATAGTTTAGAGAAGTCACCCTGTGTTTAAGGAAGCATTAAACAAGATCTACGCTGGAACACAGATAAAAATTGAAAAAACTTGTAGTCTGATAAATAAGACATTTTTAAGCATCAAGATTTTTCTCCACAAACCTGGGCTATCTTTGTTCTTTTGATTATGTGCTGCCATTTGTTCTCAACTTTAATTATACTGTAATCAATTTACACTTTATGTATTAATTAGATGCTTTTGTTAGAATTTTTGATTATAAAGAGACCTGTTACAAGTCCTTACAATGCTTTCAGATTGATTTTGGTTTAAAAAAAGAAATAAAAAGTGTATTTTGTTCCCCCTGACAATTAACTATTGGTCTATCCTATTCAGCGTCAACAAAATACATAGAAGTTGCAGCGACTTTAAATATCAACATAGAATCAGGAAAACCAGGGGACGGCCAGATGGGTGGTTTGGTATTCCAGTATTTTTGTTCAAATTCAAGGTTTGAAACATGTATGAAATTCTTAGCACTAAATGTTCATATAAAGTAATTTGGGGGTGGGGGCTGAACAGCACATTAAAATCAGGGGGGATATTTCCTTAAATAACATGGCTGTACTAGTTACACAAAGAAAAAGGAATGAAAAAATGGTTAAAAAAGTTCAAAAAAAGGATGCTATGATGAATCAGTTCAGTTCATGGATTTGATTTTGAGAACCAAAGTCTTGAAGAATTTGTAATGAGGCCAAATTAGCTTTAAATTAATTTAGAGTAAGTGGAATTTGTTCATACTAATTCACAATGCAAATCCAAGAAGTAAAGGTAAACATTATTTATCCTGCACTTGCTGCTATTGCACTTCTGGTTAGACCTAAACTGCATTTCGTTGCCTTGTACCTGTACCTGTGTAATGACAAAACAGTTGAATCTAATCTAATCTAAAATATTATTATTTGGTAAAGTAATATTTTATTAAAGGAATTGCTTAATCTTAAACCAATAACCTCTTGTCAATTGATTCTTAACATGCTTTGATTGAGCTAGAGCTAGCAGACAGAAGGGGAACCATTTTAAGGGACTCTTTGGTCTACTTTGGTAGTTAAATGTGATCAGTATATAAGGAAACACATGAAGGTCCATGTTACATTGGTGTTTAAACCTTTAGTGAAATGAAGTTTGTTTTAGCCTTATAAAGAACATCTCAAAACATGTCAGCATGGGGTAACATACGGCCCATCTTGTTAGCTTGTAAACAGTAAACACATAAAATGATCGAAAATGATCAAAAACCAAAAATGCTGGAAACCCTTTCCTTAACTTGCAGCCAGAGTTCTGATGATAATCAAACAGCGGAATCATATCTCTCCTATCTTAGCTTCTCTTCATTGGCTTCCTTTTAAATCCAGAATAGGATTTAAAATCCTTCTTCTCACATATAAAGCCTTAAATAGCCAAGCTCCATCTTATATTAGACATATGTTTGGTCGTTATATTCCTAACAAGGCACTCTGCTTTCAATCTGCAGGTTTACTAGTGGTTCCTAGAATTTCTACGAGTAGAATGGGAGGAAGATCTTTTAGTTATCTGGTTCCTATTCTATGGAATAGTCCGTGAGGCAGACACCCTGTCTACTTTTTAAGGGTAGGCTTAAAACTTTCTCGGGTTATCCTGAGCTATCTCCATAGTTATGCTGCTATAGGCTTAGACTGCTGGAGGACATAGGGACTAATTTTCATCATCATTTTGCTTCCTTCCATCTCTATTCACCCAGTTTGTAGAATTTGTTAGTTCAATCTCTAACGTTATGCTCTCTCTGCTTTTTCTCACAGTAGCTTCATCTGGTCTGTTCCTGTTTGGCTGTGACGCCATCCTGGAGAGAAGTATTAGCTGTGCTGTTGCCATCAACACCTTTGTTTATAGATGTTTGAGCTTGGTCTGTTTTTTTATTTCATTTTAGTCCTGTTTCTCTTAAGATGACTAACTGTATGTACTCTCTTTCATCTGCTGAAATGGGAGCTGGGTCGGAGCTCTTCTACCTGGCTGTACATGTATGTTTCCTGGACGGTCCGCCTGTGGAGATGGTTGACAGTTGCCTTTTGTATCTCTGCTTCTTTTTCTATGTCTGCGTCTATCTTCTTGAACCTCAGTCAACCTCAGCAGTCGGTTTTCCTTGGACAGAAAAATTTTAACCAGTCTGACTGTAGGATCTGTTGAATTGTCCCTGTAAAGTGCCTACAGATGACATGTGTTGTGAATTGGCTATATATAAATAAACTAAATTAAACTGCATTACATAGTGGCATATTTTAGTTGAGTTTCACCAACATAGTCAAGTTATAGACAAGTTTTTAGCTGAAATATGTTTGACTTGTAGCTAAATAATTTTGTTAATAAACTATTATATTTTGAATGGATGATGTGGTAAATTT